GGGCTGGGGGCTGGGGACACCAAGGACCGGCTTGGGGCCTGCATGGCTTAAGGTACCTGAAGGGGCCAGGGACCCCAAGGACCCCCCCGCCATGGTTCAGGGCTGGAGGTGCTTGGAGGGCTGGAGACCCCAAGGACCCCTTGCCATGGCTCTTTGGGGCTTGGGGTACCTAAAGGGGCCAGGGACGACCCCAGACCCCCAGCACGGCTTGGGGGTGGGGGTCCTCGGAGGGACCAGGGACAACCCCAGCCCCCCATCATGGCTCAGGGCTGGGAGTCCTCAGAGGGCTGGAGACCCCGAGTACCCCCCGGCACGGCTGGAGCCTGGGGACGCCGTGCCCCCAGGGGGAGGCCGCCGGGGGGGTGGGGGGGGGGGGGGGCTGTGCCCCCCTCTCACCCACCCCCTGCGCCCGCAGCTCGGTGGCGGAGCAGCTGAAGCGGGGGGAGACGGTGCAGGCGGAGGCCTTCGACAGCGTCACCATCTACTTCAGCGACATCGTGGGCTTCACGGCGCTGTCGGCCGAGAGCACCCCCATGCAGGTGGTGACGCTGCTCAACGACCTCTACACCTGCTTCGACGCCATCATCGACAACTTCGACGTCTACAAGGTGAGGGCACGCGTGCACGCGCACGCACACGCGTGAACGTGCATGCACCATGGGTCACGCTGGACACCCCAGAGCCGGTGTCGCACCCACCGGCGTGTCCCCGGTGGTGTCCCCCCCGCTACCCAGGTGGAGACGATCGGGGACGCCTACATGGTGGTGTCGGGGCTGCCGGTGCGCAATGGGAAGCTGCACGCCCGCGAGGTGGCCCGCATGGCCCTGGCGCTGCTGGACGCCGTCCGCTCCTTCCGCATCCGCCACCGGCCGCAGCAGCAGCTGAAGCTGCGCATCGGCATCCACACGGGTCAGCGGGGATGGGGGCGGGGACAGGGCACCCACACGGGTGAGCGGGGACGGGGACAAGGCATCCATATGGGTCAACGGGGATGGGGACAGGGACGTGGTACCCACACGGGTCAGCGGGGACAGGGA